TATCTATCTATCTATCTATCTATCTATCTATCTATCTATCTATCTATCTATCTATCTATCTATCTATCTATCTATCTATCTATCTATCTATTATGCATGCATACATTTTTCGCACATGCTCTCCCAGCACAAAATAATGTATTTGGCAATTTCTCCTCTACCAAACAGGCTTGTGTGTTACACCTGACTTAACTTCTTTAAGGGCAGCGGATTTACACCTCGTTGGCCATCTGATGTCACTAAGCCAGCGGTCAGAGAGAGGAGGAGAGTGCTTGTAAGTAAGACCTCTGGGGGAGAGCAGCTTTAGGAGGTTAAGTAAATCTTGTAGTGGACAAAGGCCAAATCAGATGGGACACAGAGGGGGTTTGTTATGACTCACTTCATCATTCAGCAGCTGGAATAAAGGGATGAGGGGGGATGATACCTGCTTGAGAAGCACGAAACATATGTGCATTAGTATTTATCTCCTCCTCTGCCCACAGTTGAGCGTTGTCTAAATTCTTGCAGGACGAGGCCAGCAAGTGTATGAGATCAGACAAGCACAGGACGCACGTCACTAAGAGCGCATGGCAGTGGCCCTGGAGCCATGGCTAACTATGAGTGCACTATCATTCGCCACTGTAAGGAAAGACCCAATTAAGAACATTAATTATGCTTCCTTGGCACTAACTCTATCACTCTCTTTTTAGCCTGGAGAGCATTTAAGTCTAAGGCCTTGGCTGCATGCTCCCTCTCATGCTTTAATCCAATCTAGTTTGTTTCTAGACGAAGTTTGTCATGTTTGGCAGAACTGGACTTTCTGGGATAAGTTGGGATATCCAGATGGACAGAGTAGGAGAGTTGAGCTCATCCACAGGGTAAGGATGTGTAGTCGCACAGAAAATGCAGTGTGATCTCAAAGACTAATTCTGCAAGGTTCTCCTAATGCACTGTGAAAAACCTGTGAGGGAGGCAGATGCAACATGGTTCACGTCAGCATGCCTCACAGCTCTTTGCTGACACAGAAAATGCTAAACTGATACAAGCCTAACGTCAATTAGAATTTCTAAATACAGTAAAAGTGAATGTGTGCATTAATCCTCTGTGTACACTAATATTAATTATAGGGAGTGAAATGTGCTTCCCTTGTTCAAATCTATATACTGCCCGAAGCATGCTGCCTTAATATATAAAGTGTTTTATTTGTGAGGTTTCTTTTTACTTCAGACTTAGTTTCTCTGCCTTTGCTCACTAATTAGTAACATAATTAGAATTACTGAGTCATACAAAGATTTCTTTTTTCAGCTACATGGTGATGGTTTTAGAAGGGTTTTTCTCAGCAAGTAACCAATTTCCATTGTGACAAAAAACATTAAAATTTTCATGCAAATGTGTCTCTGTAAGAGAGGGAATGACAGTCCAATTAAGGACATAAGGTTGTTTGGTTTAAGATTTGATTAAAACTGCTGCAAAAAAGAAAAAAGATTTGATATGAAGGAGATCTGTTTTGAATATGAAATCCTTCATTAGAGCCTGGACGATAGAGATGATACAGCTCTACACTATGTTAGCTGATTTCATGTCCTTGTTCAGCTAGTGCTCTATGAAAAATGAATGATAATTGTGAACAGTGTCAGTCAGTAAGCGTTGCGTGTCTCAACCTGATGTTTAGTCTAATTTAGTTGTGAAAGTGGCTTCAGCAGACTGGCCAGACTAGGAGAATGTTTCGTTGATTTTATCCATCCAGTTTGTGTTTTACCCAGGCCTACACATTCATGTCTTAACCTCAAATTTGGACACAAATAGTATTAACCTCCTAAGACCCGAACTCTTTGATATTTGGACATATTGGGGCCCGATGAATGTAAAAACAAAGAATTACTTTCTTTGTTTGTTTGGGGGTTTTTTTTTACCTGATTTTTTGTTTCTAAGAAAAATGAGAGCCACATATGAGGATATTCGTTTAAAATTTCAATAGACTAGTAGCAGTATAATGTCCTTGTAAGTGAATATCAGGCCCTTGTAGAGCAAAATGGAGTATTTTGGTCTAAATAACCTAAAATGTGATGTCCACATATGTAGATGCCAGGTCCTAGAATAACAATGTGTCAAGCATTAAAAAAATCAGGATCAATAAGTACAAATGTGCTAGACATTAATGTCATAGTTTGTGCCTTCAAAGTATCCTGATGGTCATGGCAAGGTCACGTCTTTAGGACATACCGTGTTATTGTGCTGTTACAGTTTCAGCAGTAATCAAATATCAACATACACTCGGATATTATAAAGTTTATCCAAAAAGTTTATCCGAAACATGTACATGTTCAAGTTCAAACAGTTCTTCTGCTTGCCTTCAGGGCATGCAGAATTAAAGCATTTCATTTCAGAGGTCCGCATCTGCACTGAGCATTTCCGATATAACCACTGCTGGACGACACGGTACATGGATTTAAACTGTAACATTATCATAAGGAATGTGGTCCCTTAAACACCGCGGACTGAACAAGTTTGTCTTTTATGAATGAATGAATCTTCTGCTGCCCCGACCTGTAGTTCCGAACCAAACACAACTCTTGAGATGATCCTGCTCATAAAATATTCCCAGATTACCAGACCTCAGTTTTCATGGCCAACAGAACATTAACATGCTTATTGCTCTCGCCGATTATCCTCACTATGTACGGTACATTAGCGAACTGTACGATTGGCCAACCCCCTGCCTGTGCAATCAACAGAGAGCGTGAATGAATGATCAGCCATTAGCAGGTCGGGTGTGAACTGTGAAAATGGGCTCTCACACCAATGACTGCAGGAGGCCTTGATTTGCTTTAGCCTAGCTTAGCAACCTGCTAGCAAGGACCGAGCGGTTGTTAACACTGTGGCAGTGCGTGAGCTAGCGTTAGCCTGCCCAATGTAATGCAGTGGAATACGGACTAGTGTAGCGTGTTGAAGCCCAGTCTAGTGGAGTGCTGTGTGCAAGATCATAGTAAGACTCCTTGCTAGCATATGCTTGTGTTTAATGCAGCGACCTGCTTCTGCATGGTGAGTTTACACATACCCTGCAGTGAAGGTAGTGTGTGTGTGTGTGTGCGTGTGCGTGTAATATCAGTAATCAGTGTACCTCACACAGACAGAGTATAACTAGGCCCGGTGTGGTGAGAGTGGCTGAGACCAGCTCTCTGCCAGCCCAAGTTGACTGTTTCAGCCGCTTTGTGTGTGTTTGTGGTCATGGATACTAAGACTGGAGGCTCCACCTTCAGATGCCGTCTAGGCAGCCAAGGCCCCTCAAGGTCCAGGTAATAGGGAGAGTGTCTTTGTTTGTGCTGTCTTCTCTTCATGCTGCATTTTATTTATTTATTTTAGAGAGTGGGGGGTCCTTTAATACCCCTGTGAGTGTGTGTATGTGTGTGTCCTCCTGCCTGTGCAAATGTTAGTTTAATGCATTTATGACCTTTATGCAGTACACATGAGGAAAGCAAAGAGATGAACTCGGTTATCAGTGTTACAGGAATGCTGCAGAAAGGGTGCACGGAGCTTTGTGTGTGCCTGTGTTTGTGTGGCTCAAGCAGTATTGGTCTGCTCTCTATGATGCTATTAGAGTTACCAGCATGAAGGCAGCAACATGTCCAGGGTCAAGAGAAGATTTCTGATGGACAGGGGGAAAAAAAAAGTGCCAAGTGATCCTTGGTTGCGTTTTGTTGAAGTAAATGTAAAAAAATAAAACACAAGGAAATAGAGAAGGGATTCACTTGTGAGGAAAGTAAAGCAAAATGGGTATTGTGTAAAATGTGACCTTTTGTTGTATCTAATTGAAATAGAAAATGCTGGGAAAAGTAAGAAGGAACTTATTAAACCAGATTTTTAAAACTGTTTTATTCTTTTTAAACTGCTAGAGATAAAGGAGACGGTAGTTCAAACAAGCCAGAGCCAATGGCACATTAGTCACAATGAAGAAATCAAGACCGTTCTGATCATGTACAATTTTCCACTTTATCTTGTTTGACAGTGTTGAGACACGGGCGTGAGAGGGGTGAGAAAGCGTGATACTGTATTTCAGCATCATGCTTATTTGGTTTTTCCACCTTCACACCCCGGTCAAATTTCACGGCGCAGAACCATAGCTGCATGACGGTTCATCGTAGTCCCTCGAATCAGTGGACCAGAGTGGACCCGAGGCCGCTGACTGAGCACACAGCTCGCTGGTATTAGCTCAGCGCGCTGGCGTCTGCAGTGTGCATGGTTAATTCGGCTGTTGTTGTCGCTTATGTGTGTCCCAGTGGAGCCAGGACGCGTTGGTTCGCAAGCCTGGTTTTAGTTCCACTCACTAGTCTACATGCACACATGGAAACTGATGTGAGATCCCTCTGGGCTCTTCCATCACTTCATGTGTGAAAAACCTGAAACTCTTCTCTAATACTGACTACATTAGTTTGGTATTTTGTATTTGATTGATGGTGACCGTTGAGGCTCAGAATATATATATATATATATGTTTTGTTTTTTTCTTTGCACGAGCTTCCAGGTTTATTTCTGAGTTAAAATAATTGGCTCATCTATACTGCAGGCTAATACATTTCCCTCTACATGAACATATTTTGAGATGTAACTCAACTAATTGTAAATTATGCTTATCATTAAACTTTTAAATGATGTGTTTACATTGTATTTGTTTCAGGTGCAATAATAAAAATATGTATGTGTATTTATGGGGCTGATGCAAGACAGTAAGCACGCATATAACCTTACTTTTCAAGGTCAAGCAGCTCTTTCTGTTTTCTATAATGATGACCTCTCTGTTCCCTGTCACTGAACAGCTCAAGGACCTCAGATCCAACTGTCATATTCACATCACAGCACTTACCCAGGCTACCCTGTCCATCACCAGAAACAAACATTTCATTATCATTCTAAATCACTGGCAGATCACTAATTCATCCCTCATGCACTCAGATTTAGGCATATTTTTGAATAATTCAGTGTTATTTGTTCATTCAGTGTTCTTCCTTACATTAACATCTCACTTTCTGCATCCGTACTGGCTCATCTTTGTGATGTGACCAGTGGCTGTGTGATAAGAAGGCTAAATAATGAGTAAGCTTTAAAATAAGTAATGGTTGAGCTTTACTATCAAACTCTCACACTGGGGATTTGTAGATTAGTGTTGCTTTTTGATTCCACACCCTCAATCCGTTGATGTGGCGTTGCATAGATGTTGTTGCCCTGATCATCATTCAGGCTTGGAGTCATAATAATGAGCAACAGGATGGGTGCAGCAAGAGACGGCGAGACAAATACTGGGTGCATGTGATGTTAAGTGTAAACTCTCTTAACTGGATTCACCTGATTTGCGCCTGTTCATGCCCCAGTGTGCTCAGGCATGCTAGCTGTTCAGCACCCAGGCTCATTATAAGGCCTAATTCAATTGACCTGGGGATGTAAACACATCTGTACGCAAATATAAGCGGGCCAATTTGGAGTGCCGCGACACTGAGCTGCAGTGATTTGTTGTACCGAGAGGATAATCAGCACAGAGCCTGAAAAGTAATAGTGAGGAGGCAGTAGCAATAAAGTAGTTACTGTCTGCTCAGGGACAAAAAAAAAGATGAAGGGGTGGTGGTGAGGGGTGGGGGCAGTGCAAGCTCAGCTAGTGTCCCATGCTTACTTGGGTGTAATGACCCATCAGTGGTGACATCTTGTTTCATCAACTTCTGCTTCCTTTCACTTGTCTATCTGGGCTGAGTCTCTCCTTATCTGCTGCCCTTCTCCCCTCCTGCCTACTGAAATCTGTCTTCCTCTCTCGTGTTTTCATTTTCTGTTGGCCTGTATCTACTTCTCCTCTCGGCTAGATTTAAAGGGTTACCCTGAACCACATAGTGGAGGACGTACAGTTTCAGAGCATCTTGTATTCTGTGAGAAGGATCAAAGACCCATTGATTTATTTTTTTTTGAAATCGCTGCTGGCATACAATCATTTAGTCAGATTTTGCTAAATTAGCGGGTAATAAATTTGATTGTGTAATTGTTATACAGATCAATTTAGAGCAAATAGCTGTATTTGAAAGTGGAACAAGCTTGATTAAGTTATCACACAATTTTGATAATCCAGTAATCGTGTAATTCTTTTAAAGCAAAATAGCAAAAAAAAAAAAAAAATCCTCCTGTGACACTAAATTGAATATCATTTGTTTGGGTTTTCATCATATGAGATGCAAGATGCCATCGTGCACCTGTGGAACTGAAATGGATTGTGACAAAACAAGAAAATGATTGCCATAATGACCGGTAATTAAAGTAATAGCTTATCAATTATTTGAATTCTAATTATTGCATGGTTTTAATTTTTTGTATTTAGCAAGCTGGCTTGACCTTCGCTACATGTCGTACCCCTACTGTCTCTCTCCATGTTTTCTGTCTGTATCTAATACACAATATAAATGCACACTTTTTTTATTTTTTTAAATATCCTGGACAGACAGAAGTAAGATAGGTGAAGTAAGAGGAAGCAGTGTGAATCAAAAACAGTATAACGACATTGTAACTGTCTTTGTCAGGTGTGTGTGTGTGTGTGTGTGTGTGTGTGTGTGTGTGTGTGTGTATGCGCGCACATGTACGCTTGTGTGTGTGAATGTGTGTATGGGAAGAGGCACGGGGGCCGAGCTGACGAGGCCTCTCACTGGGATACTGGCAGGCCTTACTTGCCGCAGGCCCAGCTCTCAGCTCCACCTCTGACAGGCTTCATACTTATTGCTCAATGACATTCGATGTTTTCCTTCAGTTTGCTGTAAGATTGATTTCTCAGATATGTTTGAAATATCTCCAGAGCCCTAGAGCGTGGTGACTGGCACAGTGGCACAGAGAAAGAGAGAGAGACAGAGAGGTGGTGCAATCGGGGAGTAGAGGAGAGGATGGTGTGTTCGAGGCTAAGGATAAGTTGTAAGGAAGAAGAACAGTGTAGAATTCTCCAGTTTTGCATGAATGGGAGGACGTCTTTATGATGCTTTTAGCTTTTGAAGTTTTTGCCATCTTTGAAAATTTAGCCAACTGAAAATTTACAACAAAACAGAGAAGCATGAGCTTGTTCATTCATTCAGTTCAGTTTTATTTTTATAGCTCCAAATCACAGAAACGGTTGCCTCAAGGCAAAGACAGTAAGGTAAAGACAATAATACAGTGAACACCCCAACAATCAGATGAGCCCCTGTGAACAAGCACTTGATGACAGCGGGAAGGAAGATCTCGGTTTTAACAGGAATAAACCTCCAGCAGAAACGGGCACAGTCAGGTCTTGGGGGTGAGGGGAGAAAGACAGGACAAAAGACACACTGTAGGAAAGAGATGAATAATAACCAATGATTAAAGTTTGTGTGTAACCAAATAGTACATTTGTAAATCTCATCTTATGTTCAGATAGATTGTTCAATTCATATTATTAAATGCCTGAAAAAAGGGGGTGGCCCAGTGGTTGAGTGTCTGGAGCGCATACCTCAGTAGCATTCTCTCAGCAGTGAGCTTTCAGTTTCAGTTTTTAACCCATTTTTCCTGCCTGTGTGCACTTCCAGTATCGAATGAATGCCTGAACAATCTTCCTCAAAATAATACCAGAAAACAGTAGAAATGGCTTAAAACATGGAATCCTAGAGCTGTGGTTGAGGCCACGATGTGAAGTTTCCTTGTAACAAATAAAATGTATGTATTGCCTTTCATGACGTGAGTGTTTCCATAAAGTTACATGACTGTGAAAAAGGGTGATACTGCAGAAAAATCACAAAAAACCCCCATTGCTCTGTAGAGTTTAAAAGTCCTTTGTCTTGCCAAAGTCCAAAAGTTAAATATTTTCAGTGACATAAAACGCACAATAATAGTGGGTTCCAGAATGAATGTGAAGTTGGAATTTCCGAGTTCGAGTTTGGAATATGAATCTTGAACACCTCCTCAACTTGCATTTCCTACTCGGAAAGTTGGAACAGCCCCAGCAACCACGAGTTAACAATCCAAGATGGCGGCAGCAAACATAAACAGTAATGAAGCTGTAAAACTTGGAA